GGCAATGGCTTCAGGATTTGGAGTCTCCTCTAGACCAGTGAACGGTATTTGATCAAGCACAGGCACTCCTAACAGTTGAGAGAATTCTTCTAATGTAGGCACCAACTGATAGTCAGGAAAGGTGAAGCAATGATGCATGTGATCAAAGAATTGGAAGACCACACACATCATTTCTTCTTGGAAATTGGAGGTAGCCAAGCTGAGAAGTCGGCCATATTTCTTGGTGAAGGGAGAATATCCAGGCATTCTTGATGCTAATTCTTGGAGTTAAGGGTGTGCTTTCACGAAGATGATTCGGATGGTATTCCTTAGGATAGGATTCATGGCCTACAAAACAAAGCAAAGATAAATTCCTAAATCCTTGAAATGGTTAGTGAGAATGCTTATGATATGATGTCATGATGTTATGTACAAGTATGCAAAGCAAGCAAGTTGTTATGTACAAATAGTCATATCCACACAAAGCAGACGAGTCCTTAGGTTTATGCTTGCATGGGGTTCGTAGGTAAGTACCCTCTTGAAGTTTAGTTGGCTCAACCTGTCCTAGAAAGTAACCTGGTTCTAAGGGATCTCAATATCACCGACCTTTATTTTAGGCATTGTCTCAGCTCAATCAATCTTTTCTTGCGGCCGAGATATCCCAAAAGTCCGATCTTAATGAGCATAGAAACGAGTATCAACCAATCTTTGGTCAGAATAAAGTCGGCTATCTCACTACTTCCTAATGGCCAAGTTGTTCAATTAAGGTTCTAAGGTCAGTTAATGCTTCATCACGCCGCTCAACGGCTCCGTATTCTCCTCGATTCAACACAAGGGATACCGATACCAACAAATGCGTCACACTAACATAGCCATTGTTTCAACCGTATCGATATACGCTGTACAATTTCCACAATATATTGCTACTTACCTAAAAGGTGCCCAAGATCCGGGTAGAGGATCAAAACAAGCCCAAACAAGGAACCATAATGTAAAGTAAGCAAGTCAAACAAGGAAATCAAGTAAAGGTGATCTAACCCTAAGGTAACCCCACTTTTAAGTAGATTCCCCAGCGGAGTCGCCAATTCTGTAACACGGTGGGAGAACTAACTTGGATGTTTTGCGTTTGATCGCAATTGTTGCGGATAGCAAGAGTCACCGCCTACTTTTCTTTTATCCAATAAGTAAAGGGTGAAAAGAACAGGAAAAACCTTTGAGATTATTTTCTTGAGTTCGGGGGGTAGGTTATGAAAAGGGAAGGTGTTAGCACCCTTTTCATCCGTAATTATCTACGGGCTCTTAGTTGCTTGCTAGATCACTTGCTTTTGTTTGAAAATGTGCATGTGGTGTGGGTTTTGAAAGTATTTTGAGAACGTCTTTGTAATGGTTCTCGTTTCTATAAGAATGCGTACAAAGTGTTAGTTTTGAAAATAATTCAAAGAGGTGTTTATGGAATATGTTTTTGAAAGTGATTTTGAAAAGTGTCTTTGTAATGGTTCTCGTTTCTATAAGAACGCGTACAAAAAGCTTTGTCTTTTGAAAATGTTTCAAATGAAAGTGTTGGTGTATAAAATGTTTTGTTGTGAGCAAGTGAGCAACTAGGAGCATCCTACCTACTCAAAAGGTCTATGTTCTTTTCCTACTCCTCTAGATGTTGCTATCTTACCATTATGTGAAGGGATGTGCGTGAGACGTTTGTATAGTCATAAAAGATAACCTATGAGACGTTTTAGCAATGTTGTTTAGGGGCTAGATCATTTACCGAAGGCAACATTGAGGGTCATCTAGGGACTACGATATTTTATCGAGGGTCTTTGCTAAAACGCCCACATTCGATGGATATGACTATTTTTCTGAGGCAACAAGTGAGATTACCCTAGAGGTGCATGTGTGAATAGTATGTTTGATTTGCATGCATTTTGTCTTTGATTTTTGGGTTGTCTACTTGTTGTTTTTATCTTGTACAAAAGCAATAAAAATGCAGAAAAATAAATCCTACACTATTACAACCATATTGAATAGCAAGAAAATATAAAGACAAAATAAAATAAAGAAAGGAAAATGGGCTTTTCTATTTGGGCAGCAGAAACCTTCGATTCTGCTTCTCTGGCTCCCTTCAATTTGGCCTAGAAGTAGTGAGGGCGTGCCTTTCGATTGGGCCTGGAATCAGCATGAGATGCAGTCTGCTTTTTTGCTTTCTTCGACTGAGGCCTGGAAGTAGTGAGGTGTAGCCTGAATTTCTGCTTCCTTCGACTGGGGCCTGGAAGTCAGTATGGCCATTCTTCTGGCTGCCTCTTTCATTTAGACCTGGAAGTCAGTTTGTAAGCCTAAGGCTTCGTTTCATACTTCTTTCCTCATGTTTCTTTCGTTTGGGATTTTAAATAGCAACATGGTATGAGGCCATGCTAGCATGGTCTTATGGCTAGGTTAGTTCTTAGAGCATGTTTAATAAAACAAGAAGCAAAACTAAAAGGGTTAGCCATGAAAACAAATTAAAAGGGTGGAAACGAAAAGGAAAATAAATGTGATATACATGTTTGAAACGAAAGGAAAGATTATTCACATGTTATGTTAGAAACGAAAGGTTCAAGGTTTAGAGAAACTTACACTGCTTGAGGCTAGAACGTGTGTGCTGGACCTTAAGTGGCTACCTAGATGCTTCTGAATTCGAAGGGAAGGAACAAAGGTTACATTTCTAATGCTGGATTCGAAGGAGAAGAACACGTGTGATGTTCTTTCTACATGATTCGAAGGAAACAAAGTGTGGGGATTCTAGGTTTGAATATGTGTTTAAGTGTTTGAGAGTGTTTAATAATTTGAGAGTTTGATGATTTTTATCCACGCCCCCAAAGTCCCTGGACGTGTTTTCAGCCCCTTATACATGTTACAAAGCCTCTTATTTATAGGCAAAGTTGGCTGAGATTTAGGAGGGAAAACAAAACAATTTAAACAATTTGAGTAAACTGCTTTTTGTAGCTTTCGAGGGACAGTGTTTGTATGCCATTTTGGTGCAAGAATAGGGCAGTGTTTCAGGATCGCTGTGCAACAGTTTTGGAGCGTTATGGCCAGTGTACCAGGCCTGAACTTGGCAGCAAGCATCTTTTGAATATTTCATTTTTCGTTTTGACCACCTTCGACCAGATCCTCCTTTAAACAATATTATTTGGTTTTTACTCAACAAGTGTCTTTCAAATGGGGCCTTTTATACATCATTTGAAGGGGCCAAATGTGTGCCCCTTGAATGGGTCAACAAAGTATGCCTTAAGGTGGGTCTTGTAAGTCCTTCGAATGGGCCATCAAACATATCCTTCGAATGGGCCATGTATGTATCTTTGAAAGGGCCAAATGTATCTTTAGAATGGACTATGTTATTCTTCGAATGTGTTAGTAAGGTATATCCTTCGAAAGGGACTCCTATGTATACCCTTCAAATCCTCCAATACATGTCCTTTGAAGGGGGCCACCAACCATGTGTGTTAAAGGTTGTTAAGGGTGGAATTGCAGTATACTATTTCAAAGGGAAATGTTGTCCATTCGAAGCTAGTAGAAACATAGCCAATGCCCTGTCGAAGCCTGCATGCAGGAGGTCTACATGCCCAAATGAAGCTTGCAACAAAGGGGGCCACATGCCCAAACGAAAGAGGCATGCTAGGCCTTCCATCAAAGGAGGGACACATGCCCAAACGAAAGAGGCATGCAGGAAGCAAAGATGCACATACGAAAGAGGCATGCAAGAGGCAAAAATATGCAATCGAAGAATGCCAAAAGGAGGCTTTTTGTCTTGGAATTGAAGGAGGCTACATGAGGCTCTTTCCTTGTGCCAGCTGGCTTGGTGGGCGCCTCTTGCACGCAAGAAGGGAGTTATGGCTCAATCGAAGGCTGCATGCAGTCAACCATTACTTTGTGGACCAAAGCAAGCATGAAGAGATCAAATATTCAAACAAAAAAGGCATGCAGGCAACCGTTGCACTATGAACCATGTGAAGCCAATGGTGTAATCGAAGGTTGCATGCAGGAAGCTCCTGTTTTGTGAATCAGAGCCAGCGTGCCAGAGGCCAACACCCAATCAAAGGATGCAAGCCAAGCTTGCATCGAAAGATGCCAGAAGTCCAATCGAAGGAAACTTGTTTTTCCTTCAATTTTGTCAAAAAGATTATTTTTATCTGTTTTCCCCTTTTTAACAATTTCCTCTTTAACTTGATGCTGAAAAATTCAATTGTACTTGTGCAAGCTTGAATTTTGAGAATCATTTTGAGAAATGCCTTGAGAAATGAGAGAGAAAATTTTGGAGTACAACACTCATAAACTAGATCCTCTACATACACTTTGATAGAGAAACATACAATTTTACCCATATAGTTGATACGTAACTTCAACATCTAGTCATCACTTGGCCTATGTATATCACAACCACAACAAATAAAAAACCTTAATTTATAAGACTTCTATGCAACAAAATAACTTTGGAGCAATAAAACCTAATTGATAACACAAGTTACATACCTGAAATAGTATTTCAGATTGTCTTCATTGCCTTTCGCCGCCATGATCGATTTGATGGAAGATGGAAGACGAAGAAGAATTCGTTCTATTTAGGAAGGAAGAGATTATATGTGATTTTTGAAAATGATTTTATTGTTTATCTTATTTTAAAAATTAATTTGATGAATTAATAGTTTAAATTTTCAAATATGCATTGCCACATAAATGTTTATCTAGCAACATCACTTAAAATTTGGATACATACATCAACATTTTTGAAGCAAAAATAAAAGGTAGGATTAATATTGCAATCAACAAAATAATTTAGAAACTGCTTTATTATGATTTAAAATAAAATGAGCAATTTCGTGAATGAGTAAAAAACCTTTACCAAAAGTGTAATTAAACCTTATATGTTACTCAAAGACACACTTTGTCTCTTTAGAGTAGGGAAAATTGAAAATCCGCCATTTCACCTGGCCTTTTGTTGCTTAAAACAAAATAAAACCTTCAAAGAGTCAGACACAGAGAGTGTGAAAATGGGAACTCGCAGAAGGAGAAACGATTCATCTTCTTCTGATAGCGAAGATGGCACCTTTACCAAAACGGCGAAAAGAGAAGGTGACACTGTTGTTCAATCGTCGTCTTCATCGCATTACGAACAGATTAGGGAACAAAGGATGAAAGAGAACGCTGAGAGAATGCAAAAACTTGGATTATTGAACCTTTCTCTCAAGCTCAAGAAAACACCACGCGCTTACGTCAAGAAAATCGCGTCGCCAACTAATCAATCAGAAAGACGCTCTTCTAGGTATTCTTACTTACTTGCTTCATTTATCTCAAGTGTTGATATCACCAATTTTTCATGTGTTAATAATTAGGTTACACCATTTATTAGTTATTTGAGAGAAATTAAGTTTCGAAAACCCTAATATCATGGTTACCATTTAACCTAATTTATGTTTATTACTTCTAATTCAAATGTGCCAATCTCGTGTTCTCGTATCTGTCATTGTTGAGTTTCTGTGTTGTTTGAGTTTGGGTAGATCGTATATGATTAGTGGAACTGATTTTATTTTTTATGCTTGATGTGTTTACAGATTAATGACCGTACCACGGGTTAACTATTCTTTCATGCGTCAACAGAATTCATCAGATGAGAATGAGGCGGTGATATATATAGCAGAAGGTACAGAGCCTGAAGTTTATACTGAAGAGCATGAGAAGCTTCTCGGAGATTGCAAGACTGATTGGGAATTGTATGTCGATGGATATGATGAGGATGGGGACCGTATCTATGATCTAACCAAGGGAGAGAAATGTCATCAATGCAGGTATTATGGTTTTATGTTTGATTGATGAACTCACTGCTATTTGATTGATATGTGACCTCATCTTTTAAGGGCTTGTTAGTTTCTATATATTACGATTAACTTTGAAACAAGGAATCTTATGCATGTTTTGTTACAAGCAAAGAAGTTACATGCATTCGTGTTCACTAGTCTGTCATAAGAAAGGAAAGGGAAAGCATATTTTATTTAACTAAACATGGGTGGTTAAAGATGCACATCTTCTTTACTATATACTTCGTACATTGAGTATATACTTGGTGCATTCAATTTATTGTTAAGAGGAGATGACCGACTTTGATATAGAAGATCATGGTTTATGTAACAGTTTTTTCAATAATTTGTAACTTGGAATGAGAATGCTTTGAGCCATATTCTTGAATTTTTTTTGCTAATTTTGTTGCATTCTGTAGTTGTATGAAGTGTTATTAAATGGACGCCATGTCAAAATGGCGTTACAGTTTTTTTGACAACAACTTTAGCCATTTATGTTGCTGATTCTTTAATAAGTTGTAACATGGAATGAGAAGACTTTGTACCATATTCTTGAATTTTGCTGCTATTTTTGTCCCATTTTGTAGTTGTATGTATTTTGTTAAATGGAGGCCATGACAAAATGGCTTGACAATTTTTTTGACAACCGCCTTAGCCATTTATGAAGGGATGGCTGTCATAAAGCGCCACTATACTGGTGTGCTTATAAAATTATATGGCAAATCTTTTGCCTTCGGCGAACAATAAGAATTGTTCTATTCTTTTTAAATTGTTTTACCTTAGGTAAAGCTGTTTTATGCTTGCGTTTTTGATTGAAGAACTATTTATCTCCTTTCTGCAGTTAATGCATAAAGTTGGCACATCAATTCTTCCATATGTTACTTGTTTCTCTGACCATCAAGTTTTACTAAAATCATTTGTTTGCTTGTAGGCTCATATCTATTAGTCAGATGACCAGTTGCAATAAATGTGAATTACCCCAAGGAATGCTTTGTGGAGATTGCTTGTACACAAGGTAACATTGTTTTAGTTGAGACTCAGATTGAGAAAAGGACCCATTTTTTTTTTTTTTGCATTTTGAAACTTGAATAAGAATGAAATGCTGATCTGTTATTCTTTTTCCTCAAGGTGTTAGCTCCATCTAAAATTTAACAAGTATAGTCTTGTGTTAGCTGCTGTCACACCGCCAATTTTAATAGTAGTGATTTTCTACTACTGTATTATAGATATGGAGAAAATGTGATAGAAGTTGATTGCAATATCAAGTGGACTTGCCCTTCTTGTCGAGAAATTTGCAACTGCAATATTTGTCGTAGGAAAAATGGTTGGATGCCTACTGGCAATATATACAATAAGGTTAGTTGCATAATTTTGACATTTGTATTTTCCCCCGTTATATCTTCATTATTCATAAAACACTAATTGCAGCTCCTAATAAACGGGTACTCTATTTTCTTCACATTCTTTAAATGAATATTTCCCCTTCATTTTTCTTTGTTATTTGTGGTTTGTTTTGGAGGACCAAGATATGGATATTCTGGAACTGACTGATCCCTTTTCATTTGTGTATGTAAGGTGACGAAATTGGGTTTCAAATCTGTTGCTCATTATCTGATAAAGACTCGTCGCCTTGAGAAAAACAGGGAAGACTCGGATGCTGAAAATATTGTTGCCCAGGAAACACCAGAGACCTCCCAAGATTCAACACTAATTGGACCAATTCAGACGAGAAGGGCTTTTAGAAGGTAAAAATGTGATCAAATGAATGCAAAGTACATCAAGAACAGAAACATGACTTAATGGCTTGTACTTTTGTTAGATATGCGTACATGCTTAAGCCAGTTGACTAAAACAGCTTGCAGCCCTATGCCCTTAGTTTCAATAACATTCTTGTGTGATAAGCAGTTTTATGGCTTCTCCCTTGGCTTTAATAGAATCTTAGGAAAAGTCAACGTGCGTAAAAGCTTCTTCTACTTAATATATATATATATATATATATATATATATATATATATATATATATATATATATATATATATATATATATATAAGGTTGAATGATTGGAGACCTAAAATCTCTAGGTTTGTCACATTCTCTTATGAAGAGAATTTCTTGTGGCACCCTACATATGGGAAAAAAAAACCTATGAAAAACCAAAAATACTCTCTGGAACTGTATTTTCGGGGCATACTCTTAAATTTCATAATGTAAAACTGTATCGAAAATGTATTTCTGATTTTAAATATAGATTTTTTTTAGCAATAATCAATTATTGAAAAAAAATACACAAATAATTATGTTTTGGAGAAAATTACGCAAATAACCATGTTTCGGAATATACAACAATGGAGGCGTTATTTCACTTGGCACATGCAATAAGTTTTGTCTTAGGCGCCATCTCACTTGGTGCATGCACTTTGTTTTATCCATGTGAGATTGCATGCTTTATAAAAAGGGGAAGAGATCCCATTTGAGATGACTACTACGTGCATTTGTGTTTTCTATAAATAAAACACTTATTTCTCCATCATTCTTTACATTTTTCTCACATTCTCTTCTTATTTTCTCTCTGTTATTTGTATCATGACATCTCTCATGATTTTCATCAGAGATGAATACGTTATTTTCTTGGCCACCAAACCTCTTATGAAAATGAAATTTTGGCACATTCACTCCATGAAGCGTTTGAAGAGAGAGTTGATGCGATGGCTAGAGGGAGACATTGAGGTTGGGGAACAAATTAGAAGGATTCAAAGAAGAAGAACAACCACCTCATTTGCAACTAGAAGAACTCAACTTTGGTTGGAGGAAGTCAAAACAGTCAGAGACGAAATGGTGATGATACATGACTCAAATGAAATTGTTTTGACGGTTGTAATTTCTTAGATGTTTTATCGTGTTTTTATTTGTTGTTTGCGTATGGTTTGTTGTAACAAATGCTTTTAATGAAAAAAAAAGTTACGTTTAAAACTTAAAAAGGTGCAGATAGTTTGCATACAATTTTTATGTTGTCAAGCTTGTAGCACGAGTGTGACAATTTTTTCAATTGTGTCCGATCTGACGACATAAACCACACTTTCTTTCTAGTTTGTCAAGGGAGTCCATTTCAGTTATGATACGCTTGCTTTTGGGACGACCCTTTTTATTCCTTCGCATTTGATTGTTGTGTCATACTATTTCCCCTTTGCATGCAGGACAATACTCAGGTTCGCTACCATTGGAAAGTATTGTTGTATACGTTGAGCAAAGTTTCAGACTAGTAAATGGGAGATAAAAGTATTAACGCGTCTTGATGAGTATACACACATGCCGCAATGACATGAGAGCAAGGCATACAAAAGACTTGAAGCTTTCCACAATCACACCAACGAGATGGTAGTATAATCCTATTCGCTTGTCTTAACAGTCCCTCGTTGTGATTGATTGTCTCTTTGACAATGAAGTTGTGGTTATGTCGGTCGAACCTTATAATAAGATGGGTGTTGGCTTTGACACTTTCTGTCTTAATATATTTCATGCAGCTTTCACTCCATAGTTGTTTCGATTGTAAGACCGCATTTCACATTTCACCTCTTTTTGCAAACAACGAAGCCATCTTAAAACATGTTGATTTCACCAAAGCGGTTACTGGGAGGTTTCGTATGCCTTTGAATACACCGTTCATTGATTTGATAAAATTTGTTGTCATGTGGCCCCATCGTTGTCCATCGTCTTATGACCTTGTCCATTTCTCCACTGAAATATTATCAATCCACTTACCTGCATCTGGATTTTACAATCTGATCTCATTGCGATAGTGTTTGAACGAAGGTTGTGTTAATGCATATCACGCGTTCATAACTGTTTTCCTAAGAGCCTTGTCTTTGATCTCCCTCATGAAAATTTGTACGATATGTCTAATGCAGTAGACATACGTAGAATGAGGGTCATGCCAACCATTTGCAGGATTATTATATGCATTTTCAATAGATGCATGCCTGTCGGAGATCAAACAGAGACCAGGTTGAGAAGCCACGTGTGTTCGGATATCCTTGAGAAAGAAACTCCAAGCACCACCAGTATCTCCCCCGACTAGAGCAAAGACAATTGGAAAAATGTTATTGTTGTCATCTTGCGCAACTGCCATTAGTAGCGTGGCTTTGTATTTCCCGTACAACCACGTTCCATCTATTTGAATAATAGGTTTGCAGGACGCAAACTCTGTGATGCAAGGTTGAAAAGCCCAGAATAGTCGACTGGATATTCCTTTTATGTTGACATAAGTACCATCTGGGGCATACACCGACAATGTTTCCATAATATAAGCAGTTCCAAGAGAATACATCTGAAGTGCATGCAGGTAGCGCGGTAGTTCTTTGTATGACTCCTCCCAGTTTCCATATACATTTTCAATCGCCTTGGTCTTTGCTAACCACGCCTTTCTGTATGACGGAGTATAATTGTATGCTATAATGATGTGAGAGATTATGGTTTTCACCTTCAATGACGGATCATTATCGACGAGAGGTAGGATTTCTTGACATACTAGATCATAATTTAGCTTACGTTGATCTTGTGATTGAGTAGAATTGACGCACATGTGAATGGACATAGAACCTATCACTCAACAATCACCTCTCAACCTGTATGATGCAGTGAGCCTGAACATGCAATCTGGGTGAACACACCTGAGCTTGTACCTTTTTGGATTTACCCGATCTACCTTAAAATCGACAGAGTTTAACATGTGAAACTTTTTTATAGCTCGCATACAATCTTCTCTTTTACGAAATTTGTCTTTTCTTTTAAATTTTCATCCAACTGCATATACGGGTTGAAAAAAACATCTGATGATGGTTTATCTCCGTCCATGTCGAAGTTTGTCATGTGTGAAGGTGGTGTGTAGATTTCATTCAGAGGTATTTCAGGCAGCGCATCGTCTTCAGAATCATCGTTGATCATGTTGTCAAATTCTAACTCTTCATTTTCCTCTTTTTCGTCAACGACGTCTACTTCTGCTTGTTCGTCTTCGAGAGGATCAATCACTTGTGATTGAGTTGGTCGTGACAACTGAGGCTCCTGCAACACAATGTACAACTCAGTCGAGTTGTATCCAGAATACTCATGACTGGAAAACATATTTTGAAGGTCCTCGTCATCTTAAACCTCTACCTTATAAAATATTATTTGGTTCTCACAAAAAAAACCAGATTTTGATAGAAGATGTGTGTCACTAGACCTCGTCCAAGTTTGACCTCTAATCATTTTTTGAAATACAAGAAATTATCTTTTCTGTTTAAACAAAATCAGATGTTATCAGTGTATCTAAATAAAAAACCAGAGGTGGGACAAATGTATATCTCACTGTTGAAATGTGCACTAATAACGTATTATGATGTGAAGGACATTGTGTTTGGTGTTTGAATGTTTGAATATTTGAATGTTTGAGTGTTTGAATGTTTGAATGTTTGAGTGTTGATAACATTAGATGCATGTAGGATAAATAGGTTTCATTAAACTTGAACAAGACAAAAATGCTCCATCACTAATTCGCCAATTGAGATGGCAACGTCTATCTGTAATACGGTGAGAGAACTGACTTTTTGGTTTTATCCAAATGTGCGGATAGCTAGAGTCGTCGTCGACTTTTCTTTTATTCAATATTTAGGAAAGGTGAAAAGAACAGGAAAGACCTTTAATAAATTTTGATTTCGGGAGGTAAGTTATGAAAAGGGAATGTGTTAGCACCCCTTTTATCCGTAGTTATCTACAGGCTCTTAATTGCTTAGCTCACTTTTGAAAATTTTGCTTTGTGTGTGTGATTTGTTTGAAAATATTTTGAAATCGCCAATGTAAGGATGACTTTGTAATGATTCTTGTATCAGTCCTCAAGAATGTATACAAAGTGTTATTTTTGAAAATATTTGTTTGAAAGTGTAGTGTGAAAAAACATTTTGAGAAAAGTTGTGAGCAAGCAATTAAGAGTTTCTTACCCACTAAAATCTTTATTATTCTTTTCCTTCTCCTTTAGAGATAGTGCTATCCATACCATTAGTTGTTAGGTAGCCCTATCTATTGGATGTGAAGGGACATGCGTAAGGTCATCATATGATCATCAAAGGCAACAAGTAAGGATACTTTATCAATTGTATCGAAGGGACTATCATCATTTTGTAGGCAACTCGAAGGGACTAGATCATTTTGTAGGCAACTCGAAGGATCATCGAGGGATTATGATCTTTATTCGAAAGGGACATGATGATTTGATCGAGGTTCTTTTTCTAAAGTATCCCCACTTTCGAGGGACGTGATCAATATCATAAGACAACAAGAGAGGTTATCCTAATAACATGAGTTAGAGATTAAGAATGACCCTATTTCCCTAATTCGACCCTTGTGAATCCAATGGTGGCATTCTTTTTTACTAATTCAACCTGTATAGTGAGATACAATCAAAAGAAAGCAATACAGTGCAATAATGGTGATGGAGTATTCTGACATCATGGGCCTCATGCAAGGGATAAAACCTGGGCTATTTTGTCTCAAGAACACATTGAAATTGTTAGTTTAAATCAAAGCCTCATAAATATCAAAATATGAATTTTACAACATATGTAAAACTAACTATGTTTGGAATGTATGTTTTAGGCACCTTTGATCATCAAGAATGATTGGAACTTACTCTATGATATCTCATGAATGATTTGCAATGGATGACTTGGACTGAAAGTGGCTGGATCTTTGGTTTTGAGTTTGCCCTAGTTTTGAC